ACGACGAAGACGATGAGGACGCGGACGATGAAGAGGAGGAGGAGGAGGAGAGGAGGAGGAGGAGGAGGAGGAGGAGGAACAGGAGCAGGAGCAGGAGGAGGAGGAGGGCGCCATCGACAGGGAAGGCGAGGGCCACGAGGTCCGCCGGCTCGACGCCCGCGACGCCCGCGCCCGCCCCCCTCACTCTGATCCGCAATTGCGGGTGCTACTCCTCCTCCTCCTCCTCCTCCTCCTCCTCCTCTCCTCCTCCCTCATCCTCGCCCTCCTCCTCCTCCTCTCCTCCCCTCCTCCTCCTCCTCCTCCCCCTCCTCCTCCATCCTCCCTCCTCCCTCCCACAACAGCCGACTCTGCAACATCAAGGTCCTGCCTCGCGTCGGACCTGGCTGCAACCTGATGGGGCGTTACCTGAAACGTTACATCTGCTACGTGCCCCGGGGTTCGGCCACGAGTGGAACGAGGACCCGAAGCACGTTGCGATGCCGTTGGAGAGCACGGGCAAGCTCGAGGCGAAGCCCCAAAGGAACCCATGCAGCAAATACACCGGCAGGGACGACCCGGCACGAGCTCGACGGCGAGGCGCAGACCAGGTATCGTAGCGACACTGGTCGCGTACTACTCATACGCGTCGCCGGGGCGCTTCGACGTCGACGTCCAGTGCTCGGCCGAGGAGCTGGGAGAGCAGATGCCCACGCCTCGTAGGCTAGGCAACGCACGCCTGGACCGCTGCGCGCGCGCTGCCCTGCAGGCTGCCCGTTCCTGGCCCTCGTCTTCAGGCACGAGCCGGAGGCTGGCGGCTCGTGGTCCCCGTTGACAGTAGCTGGGCGGAGGAGCCGGAGCGCTACTCGACCCACGCGTTCTGCGAGTTCGTGGGCTCGCACTTGATCGAGTCTTCCTCCTCCTCCTACTCCTCCGCCTCTTCCCCCTCCTCCTCCTCCTCCTCCTCCTCCTCCTCATCCTCCTCCGCCTCTTCCCCCTCCTCCTCCTCCTCCAGCAATTCCCCGTTGTCCTCAACATCCCCCTCCTTGGGTCGTGACGGACCAGGTCCCTGCCCTCTCCAGCGCAGAGGCCGAGCTCTACGGCATCGTCGACGGCGCGGCCAGTGGCATCATGACCCAGAGCCTCTGCAGGGAGATCGCGGACATGCGCAGCTCCGTAGCGGCATGGTCGGTGACCGTGGGCAGCGATGCCAGCGCCGCCATCGGCATCAGCTGGAGGAGCGGCGTGGGGAAGACCCGCCATGTCGCTACGCGGTGGCTCTTCGGGCGGGACTTCATGGGGGGGTCACAATGGGGGGGTCAGAAAAGGTCCCCTTTCGTGCCCCTTTCGGGCCCCTCGGAGCCCCAGGGGGCTCGTTCAGGTACCGCTTGGGTACCTTTTCGGACCACCCGCGACACCCCCCCATGTATGACCCCCCAGTACGCGGCGCCCAAGGCTCTGGGTCCAGGACGCCGTCGGGGAGAAGCAGATCGTCCTGAAGAAGATCCCTGGCGAAACCAACGGAGCCGACGTGGGGACGAAGGCACTGGAGCCGAAGAGGCACCAGGAACTCATGAAGCTGCTTCCCCTGGCGAAGCCTCCATGCCGCCAGTTTCTGGCGGTACTGGTGGCCCTGGGGGCGGCCCCTGAAACGCAGGCCGCCCAGGAGGCGCAGGAGGAGCTGACGTGCGCGGTGAAACCGCAGCGCGAGGATGAAGGGGCCCTGGGACACACACACAAATAGATACACACAAATAAAAAGATCCCCCATGTTTTCTCATATTTTCTGTGTTTTTGTCTTCCCCCTCCCCTTCCCAGATTTCCCCGTATTTTCTGGGAGTCGACGATTGATTGCGTCTGCGTGTTTTTGTTCCCTCCTGAGCGGACTCCAAGCTCCTCAACTACATGCTCGTCGCTCTTTTGACCTGGGTGCCGATGCGCCCCTGGGACTGGGCGCGCCGGCCGCGCGAGGTCCAGGAGCAGATGGAAGCTCCCAGCTGCCTGCGGCGTCGCGCCGAGGGGGACGAGGACGAGCACAGGAGCAAAAGTCAGGAGAGGCCAAGAAGGGGGTGTCCAAAGGGGGGGGGGTGGGGGGGGGGCAAATCATGACCGGCGGCACGTGCGCGGCCCAGCGGGGGGGCCAGGGACGTAATGAAATAAGAAGAAGCGCCATGAAATCTGGGGAAATATTATGGCCCCCGCCATGATATCCACCCCCTGTAGTCATCACCCCCCTCATCGCCGCCCCCGAAAAAGCGACGACACATGGCATCGTGAACCTTACGTGCCTGAACACAGCCATGGCTGAAGTGGCTGTTGCCCAGACTGCGGTTCGCCCCGCGCTCGGGTCGCTGGTCGGCGAGAGCCCCGCAACAGCACCCGGGTCTGCGGCGCCAGGCCGCGGCAGCGGATGGCCCTCGAGGAGGCGACCGGGACGCAGCCCAGGCATGCGGCTGCAGAAGACCCCACCGCGGTGCGACGGATGAGCCGTCGGGGGTTCTGACTCCGAGGGCGCGGTGGGCCGGCGGAGGCGGCCCGCTGCCGCTCCAGCCGGTGAGGCCCCGTGAGGCCGCGGCCGGGGCTGACGGAAGGCGCCCCGCGCCCGGGACTCAGGCTCGTGTGGCGCAGAGGCTCGGCAGGGCACGGTGGCTGTCGGGCACAGCGCCCTGAAGAGGCGCGGTGAACTACAGGGCCTAGATGTGTAGTGATTGAAGCCCAATACGAAACACAGTAGACCAGCATGCCTTTTAACAATTTTAACTCCAGGCGCGCTGTAGTTAGCAGCGCAAGCGATAGCACAAGTAGGTAACGGCGAAACCGGTCCTGCGGCCGGTCTGGCTCAAGCATCCGAGCGTGGAGGAAGAGAGCGCCCCAGTCTTTCCCTCCCATCTACGATCGCTCCCGCGAGTTTCATACTCGCGCAACTATCTTAGTTTATGCGAAAAAAGAGCGGATGTGAGGCGGAGGTGTCCCAGTGATAACAAGAGTTTATACTATGGGGAACAAGGGTAATGGAGGACAAGGACAAGAGGAAGGGATACTGAGGAACGAGTGAGGACGGGGAATTACGCTACCGAGAAAACCCATATACTCATGTTAAGTCTGGGATGATGACGATAGCTGAAGTGAAACATGCGAGAATGATGCTGATGGCCGCTGCCCCGCCGATAACATTGGCGGCGCCAGTCAAAAGGAGAGGAGGTCACCGAGGGTCCTTGTCCAGGGCGGCAACAGGCAGTTCGGTCACGCAGGACACGGAACGATACCTTCGTCGAAAAGCATTCGACAAGACCCAACTCGCAAACATTAAAACATCCGGACGGTTGTCCCGCCCTGGCACGGACGCCTGCCAAGCTCCACACGGGCCGCGGTGACGGACCACTCCCTGCGCACCCCTTATGGTGTTCTGAACCTGCCACGCCTGCCACGCTCTCAGACCCTGGCACGCACCGGGGCCGCGGTGAGGGACCACCCCCTGTGAACCCCCTATGTTGTCGAGAAGATGCCAAGCCTGCCACGATCTCAGGCCCTGGCACGTATAGGGGCCGCGGTGGGGGACCACCCCCTGCGCACCCCCTACGTTGTCGAGAAAGTGTCACGCCTGCTACGCTCTCAGGCCCTGGCACGCATGGGGGCCGCGGTGACGGGCCACCTCCTGCGCACCCCCAGTGGTGTCGAGAAAATGCCACGCCTGCCACGCTCTCAGACCCTGGCACGCATAGGGGCCGCGGTGAGGGCCCCCCCCCCCCTCCGCACCCCCTGTGTTGCCGAGAAAGTGCCAAGCCTGCCACTCTCTCAGGCCCTGGCACGCATAGGGGCTGCGGTGAGGGACCACCCCCTTGCGCACCCCATGTGCCAAGCCTGCCACGCTCTCAGACCCTGGCACGCACAGGGGCCGCGGTGAGGGACCACTCCCTGCGCACCCCATATGTTGTCGAGAAAGTGTCACGCCTGCTACGCTCTCAGACCAAGACCTGGCACGCCTGCGGTGAGGGACAGCCCCCTGTGCACCCCCGATAGTGTCGAGAAAGTGCCACGCCTGCCATGCTCTCAGGCCCCGGCACGCATAGGGGCCGCGGTGAGGGACCACACCCTGTGCATCCCCAATGGTGTCGCGAAACTGCCACGCCTGCCACGCTGTCATACCCTGTCGCGCATCGGGGCCGCGGTGAGGGACCACCCCTGCGCACCCCCGACAGTGTCGAGAAAGTGCCACGCCTGCCACGCTCTCAGGCCCTGGCACGCATAAGGGCCGCCATAGGAAAACATGCTGTCCTGAGGAAGGTACCGGGTCAGCAGCTGTTCTGTGCTGAGATGAGCTGTGCTGTGCTGTGCTGTGCTGGGCTGAGCTGAGCTGTGCTGAGCAGTGCTGTGCTGTGTACGTGCTGTGTGTAAATGTGCTGTGTGCTGTGCTGTGCTGTGCTGTGCTGAGCTGTGCTGTGCTGTGTTGTGCTGCGCTGCGCTGTGCTGCGCTGTGCTGTGTGAGAAGGAGAAGGAGGAGGAGGGGTGAGGAGGAGACGCGGGTGCGGCGCGGGAAGGAAGGAAACCATAACCCCACTAACCATGTGGGGAACAAAAAAGAAATGCCGACCTGCTGCTGCTGCTGCTGCTGCTGCTGCTGCCGCTCCTCTCCAGACACATGGTACCGTGATTATTCTGTCGATTGGGTCCCTGTAGCTCCCGACACCTTCCCGGAGATCAGCGTCAACCCAAATACGGCACTGGGCCCAGAAATGGCACCCTAAGGCCGACAAATGCGGAAAAACACAGCCTCGATTCTTTCGTCCGTCCTCCTGCCGAACAGTTCTTCGGAGAATGGCGAGTTGAGACTTTGGCAACTCCGCATCAGTGGCCAGACCCCTTCCTGGGGTCCACACGCACCAATTTTCCGAGATGCGTCCAGCCGTGGCTAGGAGGAGGCCCCCGAAAGCCAACTACGGTCTCAACTCGCCCTCATCTTAGTTCTCGACACAGAGGCCCGAAGAAGCATAGAGATTGGGACCATTCCTGAGTCCCCCGAGCGCCATCGCCCCGGCCATCGCCGCCTGGAAGTCCGCGGCGGCCGCGTCCGTCGCCTCGGAGATGATCCCCGCCCAGATCCCGAGATGATCCGCCGCCGAGCCCCAACGCCTGATGCGCCTTGCCATGCCCATGGTCGGTTTCTCCTCCTCCTCCTCCTGCTCCTCCTCCTGCTTCTCCCCATTGGTCCTCGAGGCTCTGTGAACGAAGTGTTTCGGATGTTGATGGCTCCTCCGAATATCTCCGGAGGCCGATGTATGGAGGTGAAGAGCAGGAGGGGCATGGAAGAGAGAGGAGGGGGAGGAGCACGACAACGAGCAGGACGGGGGTGGGATGCTCAAGATGGTCTTTGAGGGTCTTCTGGACATGTGGTCCAGTCCCTCCTCCTCGTCCTCTCTGCCACTCCTGCATCAAACTTGCAACGCATCCCGACCAAGATTTCGAGGCGAACCACAGCCTGGAAGCCCCCAGGAAGGGAACACCGTCTAACATGTCGCGCCTTTCCTCCATCTCCATCGTCCACTCGCTCGGCTTTCACTTCCCCACCGTGGAAACCTTCGGAAACCTTCAGGAAACGAACGATATCAAAGAGACCGACGTGAAACTGCCAGACCCATCGGGCAACCAACGGCAATGTCGTGTATGAGTCGTGTCCAGCGTGGGCCACCAAACCGTGTGTTGCTGGAAAGATATGTGGTGCAATATGCGTGTGGTGCAATCTACGTATTGCAATCTATGTTGTGCAATATCCGTGGGGCAACCTGCGTGCTGAAATTTATATGACGCAACCTTTGCTGCGCTGCAATATGTGTGGGGCAACCTGTGTGCTGCAAAATGTGTGGTGCAACCTACGTTGTGCAGTTTACTATGCAGTCGACATTGTGCGACACGCGTGGTGCCGTATAGCTGGTGCAAGTTAGGCTATCGCATTTAATGCGTGCAAGGCATGAGGGGCAATCTGCGTGGTGCAATCGATGAGGTGCAATTCACCGTGTCGAACTTGAAAATGTCGACTCCACTGCTCGCGCAATCATCCAAACCCACGCGGGGGCGATTGCGATGCGTGCTTCGCATTGGCTGGCGCACCTCTGCGGCCGCGCAAGCCCGCGCATACTCGCTCGTACAGCGGCCAGCTTCTTTGGCGTGGCCGACTCGGCCGCGGTGGCGCTGCCCGCTTGGCACTTCCCAGCGGGCACTTTAATGCGAGTCGGTGACTTGGGCGGGCGCGGCATCATGGCACCGTCGACGACGGTAGACACGATGATGATAGTAGCGGTGGTGACGATGTTGATTGACGACGACGACGGCAAGGCCAATGACGGCGCCTATGCTGATCACGCCGTCGACGATGACGGTGTCCTCGCGTCGGTGATGCAGGTTTTGGGAGGAGTTCGCCACGCGCGCGCGGCCGACGCGCGAGAGTAGCCGCATGGAACGATTTGACACTGAACGTGCCCCCCCAGCACGGGCGCAAGGGCATCCGAATGATTTCGGCATGCGGCGCGAGAAGCCCGTTTGGGAGAATCCGATGAACATGTTAAAACACCGGTGGTGTCCTTCAGAATTCCCAAGAGCGCGAGCTCAGGCTTTTTTGAAAATTGATGTGGCGAAACCACGCGTTGTTCCCAACCACCATGTGGTGTTGGGTCCTCGCTTTAGAGACATCGCCCCACGTCTCCTCTCCTCTCCTCTCCTCCTCCTCTCTCCTCCGATCCCTGTCTTTCCTCCCCGCATGCCCACCATTTTGGCATACCTCTCACAAGTTTCGTGGCCCGATAGGGAACTCCACCGAAGGCCCCAGTGGCAGCAGTTCCACCCTCATTTCGGCGCACCTGACACGGTTCGTGGCCCCATAGGAAGCTCCACCGAAAGCCTCAGCGGCAGGGTTCGCATGCAGTTCCACCTTCGTTTCGGCGCACCCCTCACACGGTTTTTGGCCCCATAGGGGTTCCACCGAGGGCCCCAGCGGCAGGGTTCGCATGCAGTTCCACTCTCACCTCGGCGCACCCCTCACAAGGTTCGTGGCCCCATCGGGAGCTCCACCGAAGGCCCCAGCGGCAAGTTTCGCATGCACTTCTGCCATCATTTCGGCGCACCCCTTACAAGGTTCGTGGCTTCATAGGGAGCTCCACCGAAGGCGACAGGTGGCAAGATTCGCATGCAGTTCCGCCCCCATCTCGGTGCCCCTCTCACACCGTTCGTGGTCCCATAGGTAGCTCCACCGAAGGCCACAGTGGCAGGGGTCGCATGCAGTTCCGCCCAGACTCAGGTGCCCTTCTTGGCCCGTGGCCCCAGATGGGGGCTCCACCGAAGACCTCAGTGGTGGGGTTCGCATGCAATTCCACCTCCATGTTGACACACCCCTCACACGCTTCGTGGCCCCATATGGAGCTCCACCGAAGGCCCCAGTGGCAATGTTCACATGCAGTTCCACACCCATATCGGCACACACCTCACAAGTTTCGTGGCCCCGTCGGCAGCTCCACCGAAAGCCCCACTGGCAGGGGCCGCATGCGGTTGCATCCCCATATCGGCACATCTCTCACACGTTTCGTGGCCCCATGGGGAGATCCAACTAAGACGATACTCACAACCGCGGCACTCACAGCTGCAAGTGATTGAACTTTCGCAATGCGAATTCTGGTTTTTGCGCACTCGGTTTTGAGCTCTCTACGAAACCGAAGCTTGTTCACGGATTTCGACATGGGCGCGCGGCGACGCGCACGTGTGCACTTCGCCCACTTGTTTGCAAAGGGTTCTCGCGACGGCACGCGCGCAAGGGCGTTCCAACGATTTCGACACGTGCGCGCGAAACCCGTTATGGTAGCATTTTCTGAGCATGATGAATTACTCCGACGGCAGGATCCCGCATTATAATTTATTTAGCCTGTCCCTCGACCTTTCTTCTTCGACTGGCGGAGGCCTTCCTTCCGCCCTGTGCGTCCTCCTCCCCCACCTCCTCCTACTCCTCCTCGTCCTTCTCATCCTTGTCCTCCTCCTTTTTCATTATCGTCCTACTCGTTGCATGTCTTATCCTCTTGCTCTTTCGCCTCCTCTTTCTCCTCTTCTTCCTCCTCGTCCTCTGACTCCTCCTCTCCCTTCCCGTCCTCCTCAGATTCTTCCTTTTCCTTCACAACCCCCTCCTTCTCCCCCTCCATATCTCCGTCCCGTCGGTTCTCCTCGTGTACCTCTCCTTCCTCCAGGCAGGAGCGCGCACGTCGGTTTTCCTCGGCGCCGTCGCCGCCTCGGCCAGAACGGGCGCATGCGCTAATGGCCGCCAGATTCGGCAGCCGATGGGTTACCACCGGCGGCCTGGAGACGGGGGTCTACCCCTGTCCCCGATTCGGCGGAGGACGGGGTACCACCCATGGCCCGGACACAAGAGGTTAACCCTGCGCCCGGCCGCTGTCTCGCCATCGTCGTCGTCAGCTCATCAATCGTCCTTTTGTCCTGCGCTAATTCGGGCGCGCGGGCCCATGACAGTAACAAAACATGCCGGCGACCAGCTCATTCACTCACAGAAAAGGTTCCCGCTTTGTACTTCCCAAATATTCAAGCCCCAGGAGCCTAAAAGTGACGACGGTTACAAGGTTCCGACGACCCGTTCGGATTACTCACGTGAGCTGCGGGTCACATAGTGAAGGGGCTCCCGCCTGAGACTTCCTGGCAGTTCAATCACAAGAGATGCTCCCGCCTCATACTTCCCAGACGTTCAGGCCTCAGGAACCCAAAAGCGACGACAGGTACAAGGTTCCGATGACCCGCTCGGATTAGTAACGCGATCTGCGGCCTCATAAGGAGGAAACTCCCGCCTGAGATTTCCTCGCTGTTCACTGCCGCCTCATATTTCCCACACGTTCAAGCCTCAGGGGCCCAGAAGTGACGACACTTACATGGTTCCGATGATCCACTCGGATTAATAAAAAGAGTTGCGGACCCCATAAGGAAGAGACTCCCGCCTGAGACTTCCCGCAATTCACTTACAGACGAGGTTCCCACATGATACGTCCTCCGTCTCCAAGCTGCAGGAATCCAAACCTGACGACAATTACAAGGTTCCGATGGCCCGCTCGGATTAAGAACTTGATTTGCGGGCCCCATAAGGAGGAAGCTTCCGCCTGAGACTCCATCGCCATTCAATCACAAACGAAGCTCCCGCCTGATACTTCCCCCATATTCAGGCCTCAGGACCCCAAACGTCACGACAATTACTCCGACGGTAGGACCTCACATCAAAATCTGTTTAGCTTACCCTTTGCCCTTTCCTCCTCCCTCTGGCGGACACCCTCTCCTCTCGCCCTCTGCACTGCCCTCTCTTCCTCATTATATTCCTCTTCCTACTTCTCCTCCTCCTCCTCCTCCTCCTCCTCCTCCTCCTCCTCCTCCTCCTCCTCCTCTCGCGCCACCTCCTCCTCGTCGTCGCCCTCCCCCATGCCCCTTCCCTCCTCATCCTCCTGCTTCTTTTCCATGTGCACCTCCCGTTCCCCCTGGTCGTGGCAAGCAACTCGATGTTCCTCGGCGCCGTCGCCGCGTCGGCTAGCACGCGCGCGTTTGCCGACGGCTAGATCGCGAAGCCGTCGGGACAACCCTTCGGGCCAGGCCGTTGGGGCAACCTCGCAGGCCGCAGGGGCGCGGGAGCCAGCCGTTGGGACAACCCCGCGGGCCTCTAGGTGCGCGCCGCGGCGCTCAGGCGGGCGGCAGCACGAAGCCCAGCTCTGCCGCGAGCTGCTCCGCCTCAGCCCTGGAATCCACCGCTCTCTTGTCGAACTCCTGGAGCGCCTTCCGCAGTGACGCCGGCGGCCCGCGCTCCAGGAACTCTCGCGCGGGCGGCCGCAGGATCAGCATGTTCCGCATGCGCGTTGCGCGGGAGAACATGTTTCAATTATGCGCCATGGCGACCGTCCTGGACGCAAGGGCCCCCCCCTGCGCCCGATTCGGCTGACGATGGGTTACCACCGCCAGCCCGGAGATAAGGGGTTACCCCTGCCCCCGATTCGGCCGAGGATGGGTTACCACCCCCGGCCCGGACGCAAGGGGCTACCCCTGCGCCCGATTC